TATTCAATAAATTCTGTGCTCTGAATATATTTAAAGGATGCTTCACTGTACAATTGTTTTCAATGGCTGTCTGAAGAGCGTTTAGATGTGCTTTGGAGAATGTACTAAGAGTCCATCGCTCTACTCACTGTTTCTTAGGAATATAAAACCTTGGATTAAAGGAAAATAACATACTTTGCATCAGAAAACAAATTTAAGAGCTGCCTTAGGCCAGCTTCCTCATTTTTTTACTGATGAGGAAACTTGTGCTCAAGAGCCCAGCCACAAGTGCCACTTGTACTCCAGTGGGGAGGTATGTGTCATCGATTTACAAGTAACTGCCGGTACGAATTGCTTCCCACCCTGAAAGGTGGGGTAAGCTTCTGTCTTTAGTGACTAGCAAGTCTCCATCTTCCAATGTAGTCTTACAAATACATTACTGAAGTTTCAACTTCTTTCAGAAGAAATAACCTGGGCAAAAAGTTAGATTTCATATAAGACCACAGGATGCTCAGGACCAAGTCATTTCTCCTCCAACACCAAACCCATGTGTTTTCTCCAGAGACAGCCCAAATTTTCCATTCCTCTCGACTCACCAAAGATGCTGAGAAATTACACTGTGTATAACCCTCAAGTATTCTTAAATCATAAGCAGCAGTACTCTGCCTCCCTGGTATGCGTGCATTTCTTTTTTCCTTTTGGTGGTAGTCAGGTTTGAACAGGGTCTTTGTCATGAGCTACATCTCAGCCCTTTTACTTTTTGAGACAAGATCTTGCTGAAGCACTAAGTTGTCCCTGCTGGGCTCGAATTTGTGATCCTCCCACCTCAGCCTCTTGATTTATAGGCAACCGTAATTCTTGTAGTTGCTTTTTTGACTTTGAAATATATCTTGGAGATCATTTGATGTCAGCATGCATAGTACTACTAGTATTCTTCTGGGTGGCTCTAGTTTTCCTTAGAATGAAAGTGCCCATAATTGTCTTAATCACCCAAGGTGGCTTTCAGCAGGTTCTAGTCTTTCTTGTTGGTAGCAACAGAACTGCAGCACACATGCCCACAAATGAGCCAAGAGCATCAAGGGATCAGGCCCTAGGAGGGAGGTGATTGGGTCAAAGGGTGTCTGTTCTTCCCCTGCTCCCAAAGAGGACGTAGCAGGTCCTAGTCACACAGAGCCTACTGCCTTATTCCTAGGCTGGCACCTTGCACCATCTATCTGCCTTTTGATCTTTGCTTACCTTGGTTTCAGTTTGCATTTCTTTCCATAAAATTGAGCAGTTGTTCTCTGAGTAGACTGTTTGACAGCCCACAAAAGCCTACAGTGCATCAGATCAGGGGACAAAGGCCTGTCACACAAAGGGCTGTTGGTAGAATGACAGAAGGAAAAGACTAGGGATACTGGTCATGACTGCAGACACACGAATCCACATCATTGTAATTGTGGGAAAAATACCGGCAGCAGAGTATAAGTGCTCTGGCTGCACAGTTAGTCCAGACCGGTTGGTGTTAACCTCGCATTCCTGGGGGTCTTTCGGACCCAGGTGTTCATGGTGGTGCAGTCAGTCCATAGGGAGCTTCTGGGAGCGGGGCTGAGAGAGGGACGTTCTTCAAGGTGTCAGAATCTAAGCTGTGAACTGGGAGTTCTCCATGGCTACAAAAGGAGCTGTTCTGAAGAAGCAACTACACTGACTCACCATTATCTTCTCTTAATGCATTAGAAGACAAACCTGCTGCCTGAGAATTTGCCCAGGGTCCTGTAATGCGAGTGACGTGCCCGGAGATTGAAAATACCCTCTCAAATTACACTTGGTATCCAGGTTTTCCTTTTTCAAGTAGAACTTCTGTTTCTGTTTTCTCCTCAGCAATGTTTGACCATTAAAATCACTTCAAAGAAGAAAAGAAACCCAAAATTCGGAGAAACACAGTGTTATGGACTTTCTGAAAAATGTACCTCTGTGCTGCTTCAGAAATGTTAAGAAAAGGTGTAGGAAGGCAAGAGGCTCTTTAAGTCAAGCCAAGACACACTATATTTAACTCCTTCCCAGAGTAACAATATCAGCCCTAAAAGTGATTCCAAGCTACAGAAAGTATTGTCCATTAGTAGAGGTAAAACTTCCCACTAATACTCAGCCAGTGTGTGAGGAAGGGCTGGTGGCCTATGGCCAGGGTCCTGTCATGCCCAGTTTTTCTTCCTCCTATTTCCTATAAACTTAGACATGTAGGGGTGCACCCTTTGTAGGACCCCTCCCCCATGATGGTGGTTTTTGCTTTTGCTTTTTTGCCGTATTGGGGACAGGACCTTATGCTTGCTAGGCAAGCACTGACCCGCTGAGTTACACCCCCACCTATGTTTGCAGCACTGTGTTTTGCTCACTGCCCGCTCTGTGAGCCACTGGGCCCACTACCTCACTTCCCCAAGCATTCAAAACCCCTTCACAACAGGGCCGGCGATGTAGCTCAGTGGTTCTGCTACCTGCCTCGCAAGTACAAGGTCCTGAGTTCTAATCCCTGGTACCAAAAAGAGAAAAAAGAAAGAAGACCCCTTACACCAGAATCTTCCCTCCACTGGACTGAAAATAGTTTGAGAGGAAGTTCTAGGTTTTATTGTTGGATTTGGTTTTGAAGTATTTTTATATCAGAGCATTTCACACGCATAATTTTTAAAATTTGAATTTTTGTTAGTACATGTTTGCAGTGCATAATGATCACATTCATCATGGGGAGTCAGTGCACATGCATAACACATGCTTTTATATGCCCTTGCTCTCCCTCCCTTTGTGTGCATAATAAAAAAATCCAAATGGTTCTAAGGGGCTCATAATGAAAACCAGCAGTTCACATCCCTGGGATTCCTCTTCTCACAGGCGGCGGGGTTAGTACTTTGAACTGTTTCTTCTGGTAATAATCTTTGTGTGTGGTGCCGGGGATCAAACTCAGGGCCTCGAGCTTGCTAGGCCGGTGTTGTGCCACTGAGCTACATCCCTAGCCCCTGATAGGAACTTTTACAGCTCTAAATAATGTGGTTACATTTTTGTATTTTTTTCCCCTCTAGATATTAATTATTGATTTCCTCCTAAGGAAGATAAGGAATTGACTCTGATCTTTGCCCAGGCCTATTCCAAGCACACATCTCCTTCCCCTTTCTCTCCTAAAGTTCTGCCATGATTTTGGTGGTGTCTGAATGATAAGGACTACTAGAATTACAGCTGGGCTTTGGATGATCTATGATTATATTGACCTTCAATGCATACTCTTTTGTTTTCCCTGGAGTTAAAAATCTTCCTCTTCTGTTTCCTTACTTCCCTATGTATCAAGAGATCAGCACTAAACCCTGACAGAAGTGTTAGTCCCTGCACACATTCACACATCAGGCAATCAGTGATTTTTGTGGATTGCTGTGAGAGTCAATCCTGGAGCCCTCCATTACCTTGTTCCTCTCTGGACTGACTGCTGTCTAGGCCTGCCGCATACCTTACTCACTATCATCACCTGCACCTCCTTTACTCTTTTTTGTGTTGGATCCCCTCTTTTTGGACCTCCAGTTTTTTTCTTTTACTACCTCATTTCGGGGGAACACCCTCAGCATAGCTTTAAAAAAGGAATATGTGAGACAATTTTTATGAGAGATGCACATATCTGAAATTTACTGCTCTGTCCTCTCTTTTAGTTGATAGTTGTACTGGGTATAAAAGACAAGGTCGAAAATCAATCTGAGGATTTTGAAAACATTGTCCCACTTATTTTCAGCTTCTAGTATTGTCCCTAAATCTAATGCCATCAGAGTTCCTAATCATTTTCTCTTTTACTTATGGGAAAAAAATTCAACTTTAATTTTCAATCTTTTAACACACTTTATTCCACTAGCAATATTTGTAACTTTCATGCATTCGCCCTTTTCTGTTATTTGACAGTAACTGCTTTTGATTTTATACACACACACACACACACACACACACACACATATGGACATTACAGTTTTTATTGTTGTGTAAGTTGTTTGCTATTCTATGAGAAGAACTGGAAAATATGCATTTTTGCTTTGTTTTGTTTTCCATGGAGCTGGGGGGATCAAACTCAGGGCCTTATGTGTGCTAGGCAAGCACTATACCACTAAGCAACATTCCCATTTTGGTGGTAAAGGGCTTAAGTCTTCCAGGCATCTGCCTGGCAACATACTCTTGGCCACCATTTTTTTTTAAAGGGGTTAAATAAAGAAGGAGGCAGTGCAATGCCACCATTTAATATGTTGACTTTTTTTACTACCTATATTTTAGCATGATATCTTGCCCTAGACTGTTGCCAAATTCAAAATCCTTAAACTTTTGGTTCTTTACAGGGCTTAGGGAGAAGACCTGGTAGTTACCACTCCTTTTACCTTTTACAAAGCTGTGAAATAGGTAAAGATACCCTGTTTCCAGCCCCACTGCTCTCGTCTTCTGAGGTGCCCGGTCTACCAGTTCCTAAGCCTTTGGGGGGACCTGTGGCATAAGGGGGCTTGCGGTCAGCTTTCAATAAATTGCCGTTGATTTTCCAGCTTCTGGAATCTTTGTGAGCTGCATTCTCCTTTTTTCTGTTTAGCCATATGATTTTGTGTCTTTCTATTCCTTCCCCATAATTTCTTGGGATCAGAAGAGGAGGTGAAAGTACGTGCCTCTCCCACCTTAGCCTGGCATCTGATGGATGCTCAATACGTGTATGTATGTACTGCTTTAACAGAGTGACCCTCCATATTTTTTTTGAGTGATTAAAAAATCTCAAATGTAGAACAAAGAGCTGTGGGTTATGAATGAGCCCTAAGAAATGATACAGTGTTTCAGAAAGAGCCATCCTCACTGAGACTGTTTAAAGCCTGTCCTGCAGGATTGGTCAGGGGAGAAGCTTGGGAGACTCTAGGAAGCTTGGCCCTGGGGCCCTTTGTTCAGGAACTGCAACTGTCCTCAGTGCCTTTTTAGAGATAGCCAGACCAATAGAAAACAGGTCCTCAACCCCAAGGTCAGTGTTTTTTGTTTGTTTGTGTGGGTTTTTTGGGGGGTGGGGGTGGGGGTGGAGACCAGAGATTGAAAGGTCTGAGTTCTTAATAGAAAAAAAAGTCAGCATTGGCAGTCCAAGCCAGCACTTGGTCGTGTGGTTGTTACCTTCAGGGTCCAAATCAGAGCCCCCAGGCAGGACTCAGCGCAGCGCCAGGGATGACCTGGCCTGTCTTTGTTCACCTCTTGCTGCGTGTCAGTGGCACTGTGCACAGCGGGCATGCAGTTGGGGACAGGCCAGGGTCCACTGTCAGCTCCTAGAGGAGGGAACCGAGCAAGCAGCATCTTTTCAGATTCAGATACCGGAGAAGAAAGGGCGCCTGCGGGGGACCGTTGGGGTGGGGCGCATTCCGCGGCGTGGTCATTTGCTCCCCGGCTTCCACTTAAGGGCAGTTGCCTGTGTGCAGTGGGAGCCGCGGTCAGCCCTCGGCCCTCCCGCTGCGCCCCTGTGTGAAGGCCCGGCCGCAGGTCCCACGCAGTCCACACGGCGCGTCTTCGCCGGGCCCACACCTGAATCACCGGGTCGCGGGGGGTATTAAACACGGTCGCTTAGAGAAAGGCAGAGAAATAACTTCTGTCGATAACCAACATCTGTTAGTTAATGGGCCTCTGAGAGCCGTATACAATTTAAACTTTTTATTTAAAAGCAAAGCTCATTTAGTCTCCCGGGAGCTGCACTATGAAATTATCAACAGCACCCCCCCAAACGTGACTGAACAGACAATGGAGAACATTAATTGTGCTTTGCTTTGAAACAGGCTGGGGCTCGCTCTGCTCTCCGCGGCTGAAAGCTGTCTGGCGCTTCTGGAAGGCAGAGCCCCGGTGGGTCGAGCGAGCCTCCTTCCTCGCACTGGCCTGGGCCCACCGACCCCCGCAGGCGTCTCTCCACCTTCACGGCCTGGCGAGGGAGCCTGGCGCGGGCGGGCAGGGAAGCAGGCGTGGAGGCTCCCTGCTCCACACCGCCTAGGGAAGGGCTCGCCCGGCCCCACAGAGCCCCCAGACTGCTTTCCAAATACAGCAAGGAATCCCCTCTCCTCCCTCTCCCACTCCCCTCCGGCCCTGGCTCCCCACTGCTCGGGTTTGGATCCTGACCTCAGGCCAGCCCCTTTCCTCTGAGTCCTCCGAGCAGGAGGCAGAGAATGAGCCCCTTAGGAGACACAGCTGGGCCACTGGGGCCCCACACCAGGCCCAGGCGCAGCCGTTCACAGGCTTCCGCTTACCCAGCCTCTTTCCACAGGCACCGCTGACCCCACTGCAGAGACTGCTGTGAGGAATGCGGCCCTCCCCTGCGAGCTCACCTTCTAGACAAAAGAGGCAGAGAACAAGTGCGAATACATAAGACCATTTCAGAATGACCAGAATGCATTATAAAGGACACAAAACAGGTTAAGTAGAGGGCCAAGGAGAAAGGGAGCTGCTTTGGGGGTTGCTAGTGGCAGGCCTCCTTGAGGGGGTGACATTTGGCTTGAAAAGAGCCACGCCCAGAAGGTCTGGGGGAGGAGATGTTTGGCAGTGGCAAGGGCATGTGCAAAGGCCCCAAGGCAGCGACAGCTATCAAGAAACAGGTCGTGTTGACAAGGAATGAGGAGCTACACTGAAGCATGTAGATGACAGGGCGCCAGATCTGGTGCTTTTGTCTGAGCGCAGTGGAAGCCTCCGAGGAGCTGGAGAACGCAGGGCAGTGCAGGAAGGCACAGTGAAGAGAGCCAGGGTCTACCTCCACTGGTTTTATTCTCCTTCACATATCCCCTGGCAGGCGCTTCCTTTCTCTCGAACCATAATCCCCTTGACTGACTTTAATAACCAGCAAGAACATTTTTCAGGCTGTTTAATTTTATTAAAAGATTCAAATTTGATGATAAATGAGGGCATGTTTGCTTCAAGCCTCGGACAGAAGACCTGTTCAGCTGCAGACATAATATCGACAGGAGCCGCCATCGCCACCAGGAGCTCCCCCACCCCAGTGCAGTGCGAGACCATAAATAATCTAATTATTTCTTGTCCTTCGGTAAATACACCAGGAACACTCTAAGCTGTGTGAGACCTACAGAGAATATTAACTCGGTGGGGCTTTTCCCGCCGAAGAAGAATGGGTAAGAAGTTCCAGCGACTGCAGTGGGCTGAATGAACCCCACACCATCTCAGGGAGAAGGAGGGCTCCCCCCGCCCCCGGCGCACCCTTTGCGTTACGGTGGACCCTTCCTTCTTCAAGAACCGCGACAAGAGTGGCAAGAGGGATAGGAGGAAGAGCGGGTGAATCAGCCCCGAAAACCCCGGAGCCCACTGCCACACCGGTTAGTTTCACAGAGTTCGGATGTGGTCCCGGAACAGGGCGGGTCGCTGGGGGAGGCACGGCGGTCCCCACCGGGACAGGGCCCTCCGAGCTGAGGACAGCGTGCACTGGCGAGGCCCTTCCGGCCCGATGTCCCAGACCCCTTCCAGGGCAGCCCCGGAGGAGACCCTGCTCTCAGCCCGGCACAGGAACTCGGCAAGGCAAGGCGGGGCGCAGGGCTGATCGCCGCCGC